CTGGACTGGAAATGTACTGAGGATGGGCCTGGACTGGAGGTATAGGGAGGAATGGGGAATAGTCCCACAGAGGAGCAGAGCTGCACTGAGAGAAGCAAACAGCAGCCAGCCCATGGTTCCCTCACCACATACCATCCGGTTCTAAGATGGTCAAACATATCTCTGTTTGTAAATAAAGGCGCACAAGACGAAGGACCATTCATTTAGCTGAAATTGGGATCAAAGCCCCAAAAGACATGATAATGATACGTGGTATGCCAAGGACTGGAGAGGAAGTTCATCAACAGTCTACAGTGCCTACCACACAGCAAGCGCTCAAGCACTTACTCCATGACTGAACGAAAAGTGCAAGCAGAGAGAACCAAACTTCGAGGAAGATGTCTGACATAACCTTTCCCTGAGCTCATATACTCAGTACTCAGGTAATACTGAACTTACTGTATAGGCCAAAAAGTCTGCCTAGAGCTTGAAGCAATACTTTAAAAAGTGTTTCTTGGCTGGCCAGTTAGCTCACTCAGTAGAGCGTGGTGCTGATAATACCAAGGTCAAAGGTTCAGATCCCCTTACCATAGTGGCCAGCCACCAAAAGTAAATAAATAAGTAATAAAAAATGTTTCTCTGTCCTCTTCCTCTAGCTGCTGTTGTCTGGAAAAAACTGCATTACAAAGAAATTTAAGCCAAATAATAAAAACACACCAAAAAATCAAAAATAGAACTACCATATGATCCAGCAATTTCACTTATGGGCACATACCCCAAAAGAATTGAAAACAAGGTCTCAAAGAAATATTTGTATACCCATGTTCACGGCAGCGTTATTCACAACAACCAAATGGTGAAAGCAACCCAAACGTCCATGGACAGATGAATGGATAAACAAAATGTGGTTTATACATACAATGGAATATTACTGAGGCTTAAAAAAGGAAATAAATTCTGACACAGGCTACAACATGGATAAACCTTAAAAACATTACAGTAAGGGCCGGTCTGTGGCTTACTTGGGCGAGCGTGGTACTGACAACATCAAGCCAAGGGTTAAGATCCCCTTACCGGTCATCTTTTTAGGAAAAAAAAAAAAAAAAAGGTTCTGGTCAAGATGGCTGAATAGACAGTTCCCAGCGTCACTCTCTCCCCAAAATCAACCAATTTACAGCTATAAAAATGTAACATCAGCCAAGCTGGGGCCGCTGGAGCTCAGGGGAAGAGAAGGAAAGACCTATGGAGTTCATGAAGGGGGAGAAGCCACAATGAGAGAAAGAAAAAGCTGCTCTGAGCATTTCGGGCTGTGGCTGCTTTAAGGCTCAAGCTGCTGAGCACATGGAGCAGGAGCTGCCAGAAGCCACAGCTGTGCCCTTCAGATGGAGTGACTTAGAGGTGACAGGGGAGAAGAGGGCCTTGGCGGCCCCCAGGACAGCAAGGCCACTAATAGGGTTCCCATGGACCCACACAGGAGTGAGGAGCCAGAACAACTGAAAAAAGGGAGCCATTCAGAGGCCGGTGAGTCATCGCAAGGGACCAGCACAGGGCCCGTCCCATGGGAAGTGTTTGGAGCACGGGCTGTAGGGGAGACAGGCCCATCAGGAGAACAGTGGGACACAGCAAGGACAGCCGATCTGCCCCCCAATCAGCGCAGGACCACTCAGAGGAGACTGGTCAGGAATGCAGAATTGCATGGGCTGCAGTTTGATGAAAAAACTCAGGCCCAGATCAGAGATTCTACACAACCCAGATCCACCAGGTCTCTGGAGAGCCAGAAGTACCTGTAAGGTCAACTATTAAACCTTGAGATGCACAAAAAGCCTTCCCTAGGGAAACAGCAGCAAAGCAGCAATTTAAATAACCACATACTCAAGTACTGGTTCCCACAGGAAGCTCCCCCATGTTATAAGCAAAGGACAAAAAATTAGTTCCAACCCAGGCACACCACCAGCACCTTGGGGCCTGCCTGGGAACTGGAGGCTTGGATCCGGGGACTGGACCCCACTCCCACTTCCGGGCAAACTGCGCCAGTGCCTTGGGGCCAGCCCGGGGACTCAAGGCACAAAGAAGGGGATGGACCTCTCTCCCACAACCAGACACACCACACCAGCACCTCAGGGCCCACCCAGGGACCCAGGGCACGGAGAAGGGGACCGGACCACCCTCCCACAACCAGGCACAACATGCCAGCACCTCGGAGCCCACCCAGGAACCCAGGGCATGAAGAAGGGGACCAGACCTCTCTCCCACAACAAGACACACCAAGCCAGCACCTTGGGTCCCGCCCAGTGACCCAAAGCATGGAGCCAGGAACCGGACCCTCCTCCCACAACCAGGCACATCAGGCCCGCACCTTGGGGCCCACCTGGGGACCCAGGGCATAGAGAAGGGGACTGGCCGCCCCTCCCACAACCAGGCATATGGCACCAGCGCCTTGGGGCCTGCCCAGGGACCAGAGCCATGGAAAAGGGGACCAAACACACCCCACAACTAGGCGTACTGCCAGTGCCAAGGAGAATACCAAAAACAGCTCTTCCACGTGGGTGGCCCACCACAACCACCACAACAACCATGGCTGCCACAAAAGTGGCTAGATACCACAGCCACCACGCAGATAAGTCTGCCAGCCACTTGATTGCATTCACACAAGAAGAGTCACCAGCAGAGACAAAGAAAACAAGAGGATATCTCTTTCCACAAAACCCATTTCAGAGCGACAGAAGCAGCATCTGCTCTATGATGATACTGGGGGACCTGATCACATCTCAGCATTGGACAGATCATCTAGGCAACAAATTAACAGAGTAACCATTATTCTTTCAGAAGGAGAGAAGAAATCTAGAGTAATTAGAGGGGGAAGAGGGGAGGGAATGGGGAAAGGGGACAGATTGGACAAGGGGCATAAAGAATTACAATTTGTAATAATATATAAGCTAGTAATATTGATTTAATCAACATATCTCAATGCTCAACCCCCAAAATATGTATAACCAATTTTGATTCAATAAATAAAAATTTTTTAAAAATTACAGTAAGTGAAAGAAGCTAGTAACAAAAGAACAAGTAGTGTATGATTCCACTTATATGAGATACTTAGAGTAATCAAATTCATAAGACAAAGAAAGTAGGATGGTGATTGCCAGGAGCCGGTGGGTGGGTAGAATGTAGAATTATTGTTTAGTCGGCACAGAATCTCCATTTTGCAAGATGAAAAATGTTCTGTGGATGGATGGCAGTGACGGCTGCACAACAACATAGGTGTAATTAGTGCACTAAATTGTACACTTAAAAATGGTTAAAAGGTAAATTTTGTTTTGTACATTTCACCACAATTAAAAATAAAATCGTGTTTTAAAAATGCACCTTATGGGTTGGCCCGTGGCTCACTTGGGGAGAGTGCGGTGCTGATAACACCAAGGCCACGGGTTCGGATCCCATATAGGGATAGCCGGTTAGCTCACTGGGTGAGCGTGGTGCTGACAACACCAAGTCAAGGGTTAAGATCCCCTTACCGGTCATCTTTTTTAAAAAATAAATAAATAAATAAAAAATAAAAAAATAAAAATGCACCTTATAATCTCAACAAGTTCTTCAGAAGCTAAAAAAGCCCAACCCCTTATGCTACTCATGTTATTTAACAACTTCAAAACATTTCCACAGGCTATTCACTAACCCACAACTAAATGACTCAAAGGCAAGCTGCAATAAATTTAGAGACCAGATAGTACATGCATTCTGCAATTTAAAATCTAAGCCAAATAGAAGACACAAAAACAATATACAAGAATTTAATAAACACAGTGTAAGAACAAATCTTCCCTGAAAAATTAAAAGAAAGAAACAAGACAGAGATAGAAGACAAGACATAATTAAAATAACCACACCAAAAAACAAACAAACAAACAAATGCTGGAAAATAGAGTTCTTTTTGACTGTGAAAATTTCAATCTGATAAAATTTTAAATCATTAAATATAAAACTATTTATACCTAAATAAAAATCCAACTCAAGTTTAACCTAGTTCAAATGCCAACTGACAACCAAGCTCACCAGCCTCAGTTGCTTCCTATATACAAAAGGGAGGCCCAAATCTTCTCTTGGAGACAGTATCACTGTCTACTGTCATGACCCAGTCAGACCAGGCATTCCTTAAAGGCCATGACAAATTATATTATGGCATGTGATAAGGTATCTATCACAAACTTTCTGACCCCAGACACTTGTTAATTTCTAGTACAATAGGAAATAAATCCTCCTCCAGCCCTCTCTAAAGTTGTTGGTTGTTAACATGAACCAATATCGTGGCAGGCATACAAGGTGCTGTATTTCACTTAAGACAAAACAAAGGCAAATCTATAGAAATTAGATAAGAGAAAGCAGACATACTCCAATCAGGTAGAAATTATATGTTATTCAGCATAAAACTTGGGAGGAAGAAAACGAACTCTGTCATCAATGCTAGTCACTTATCAAAGGACAGCCCACACCAGTTTTATATTCACATAAAGTACTCTTTCTGATCCCTGACTCCTAAGCCACCACGCCACCTTCTAATCTTTACTCTGGATTTCCCAGGTATTTTGAACTCAGGAAGGAGAAGCCCTGGATGGGTGACAGAAGTATTCCAATTACTGGAAAAAACTGTGACTCATTACATTAAACTTGTAGCCTGATTTACATTGCTTACAATATGATTATCATCCAAACGTGGTGAGGATCAAATCTTGGAACAGCAGGACTCAGACCAGTCTCTGTTACTGAGGTAGGCAAACACCTCAAAAAAAAAGACCCCGTCTAAAGCCCTACTACCAATGTAGCAACTCGGAAACACCTTTTAAAATCAGAACATAGGGTCTCCAAATTCCATTTGAACATAAAGAGAAAATAAGCATATAAAAATAATTCTTCTTTTAAAAACGTCTATATAGAATAATCTCCATAACTGAATGAATTACTATATTTCACTGAATCTAAGACACTGATTGTAAAATGCAACATTATTTTATGTATGTATATGGAAAAGTCTGTCAATTAAACTTTGTCACAATGTTAAATGATCATTAACTGTAAGACATATCTTGACTTCAGAGATGTTAAAAGTGTGGGAAAAAAAGGTTATGTCTTAGAACTGACAAAATGCAGAACTAAAAAATGTGTCCTTCAGATAATTATTCAAATAAAGTATTAAACATCAAGTATATTAAATTGACATGTATTCACAATCAGTAGTACATTCTTAAAGCTATTTATCATCTTTGTTTCATTTCTCACTTGAAATGAAGAATGAGCTGGCACTTAACATTAATTTCTAGCAGACGTCTTGCACAAACTTCAAAACGTATGGATTCCCAATTTGGAAATCATCTCACTTGCATTTCTAGAATCAGAGATGATCAGAAGATGAGATAAATGAGGTCTACATTAAGTGACTGTGTACAGAGGGTGAAGGCAGACCAAAGTTTGAGGCCAGGTCGCTTGGGCCCTGTCCTATGTTCTCTTCACAGATATCAGAAATCAATTAAGTCAGTAGCATTTTTTGGTTCAACCCTACAGATAAGATAAAACATAGTAAAGCTTATCTGTCATTTCCAATGCTCTTTCGTGAAACTACTCTTCAACTTCCCTGGCAAAATATTGATGTGTGATACTTTGTTCAGCAAATCAATTCAACTCCTACATGGTTTCATTCTATTAGAACAGTACCCAACTTCTCAAAAACAAATGCCTTCTTTGCATGCTCTGAGGAGTAAAGGCCACAAAATATTACCTGATCAGCCACATGCCAAACACTAGTCTCGTAACAAGATCTTACTATATGAGACCATTTGGTTATTTATGGAAGACTCTTGGAATTACAGAACATTTCAAAACTTTTTAGCATTTGCTGTATAATCGGACCTAAAATTTTTATCCCCAAAGCATGCTGAAAATCTGGTAATGCTCTGCTCTTACTGGGCTCTTCAGAAGTGGTGATTATTTAAGGAAGTCAGTAAGTGATCCATCTTTTCTAAGTGTTAGTCCCTTTTGTCCTGGTTTCTGGCAAGGTGGTTCACAAGTGAGTTGCCAGTGTTGGCTGCAGAGGATTCAAACACCAATGCACCTGAGAGGAATTGGTTAGAGACTTCAGCTGCTGTGGGCTCCATCAAAACATTTCTAGATGTCTCTGTTACAGACTGCCTCATTGTGGCATTCATTTCAATCACTTCAAAATCCATTTCATTCCATTTTTCCGCATCATCCTCTTCGTTCTCTTCCTCATAGTCATTCAGCCCAGAGCTAGAAAGCAAAGCTTTCTGGTCCTCCGTCTTTCTGTTTCCTTTTCGCTGGCGATCAAGAGGTGCGGTGGCTAATTTATACAGCACAGGAAATAAAATCGCAGTGGCTACTGATGACCCCAAAGAGGTATACAGGACTACAGGCAAATCAGGGTGTTTTCCTTGAAGAATTCCAATCATGGCAGGAATAGCCATTTCACCCAGGGCAGCACCAACTACAAAAAATGCTGCAGATTTCCCATGGATGGTTGTGTACTGCTCAATCCAAGAAACTCCGCTGGGAAACGTGGTTGCCATTGAGGCCCCATACACTGACGTTGCTGCCCAGAGACAAATTCGGTTCTTGTCAAAGAGCACCAGAAATAAAGATGACACTAGGCTGCCAATGTTGCTCAACACAATCATGGTTCCAGGTTGCAAACATGTAGCAAAAAAGATTGCCAGGCCTCTGCAGGCTGCAAAAGTCCCCCAGAAGATGGAGTTCAACCCAGCCGCTTCACTTTCTTTCATACCAGCATGGGTGGTTGCAAATGAGAAAACGTAAGAGCCATATGTTACCTCAGCTCCAACATAAAAAAAGAAGAACAGAAAAAGGAGACAAAGAAGGGCATTGTGATATTTAGCTCTTCGGGACATCTGAACAGATAGTTTTGCTTTTTCCTGCCTTGAGCTTTTCTTTAAAAACAAAATAAAAAGAAAGATAGAAACTATCAAAATGTAAGTACCAATAACAGCATAAGCCCACAGTAAATTCAAATCATCAGGTGCTCCAAATAGACATTCTGAGTCAGCTTCAGATGATCGGTTGCAGAGAGGATGGTGAAAGTCAGGCTCTGTGTGGTTTTCAGCAGGCACTGTTGCGCCCAATGCCAATTTAGCCAGCAGTGGCGCCAAAAAGGCACCCAAGGCAAAACTGAAGTGTAAGGCCTGCATATGTGGGGCTCCTTCGTCCCCCCAAAGAGCCAATATAAGGACATTACCACCTACCAAAGAAAGATGGGGAAAATGATTTAAGTTGAACATAGTACCTTCGTGAAAAAAAAAAACAAAAAAACAGTTCATTACTATCAGAAAGGTGATGACTCGGCACAACTACCAAAGAAAGATGGGGAAAATGATTTAAGTTGAACATAGTACCTTCGTGAAAAAAAAAACAAAAAAACAGTTCATTACTATCAGAAAGGTGATGACTCGGCACAAGCATCATAACGTTCTAAGTCATCTAATGTTGCAACTAAGTCAATTCTGTGATTAAGGAACTCTAACCCACTACCATCAGAGAACTCCAAACATTATATCATCACATACTCACAAATGGAATTCTACAAGCTAGTAAACCACCACTATCTCCTAGAGCCAGGCACATTAGCAAAAAGCTTTTCATAATACAGTTCTAACACCAGACTGAGAGAAAAATAATTATATATTTATTTATTTATAAATATTTAAAATATACACATTAAAAGGGAAAATTTTATCATCAGATAGTGGTCATATTACCAAAGCTTTCTGTACTTGCAACTGGTAGCCACTTGATGAAAATTATTTATTTATGTATATATGATATGCAACACACATGCTCAGGAACCTGAATAATCATGTTCTGGTGTGTCCATTACAGGAAAAAAGGACACCTTTCAGTATCTGCACTTCTAAACACCTACAAGGTGAAAGGCAAGAAGCATTATGTCTCAGGCTATCTTTTTTTCTTCAACAGATATTTTCAAATATGTGTATATGATAATTCCACCCTGTAATTTCACAACCAAACTAAGCCTAAGTATAAAATATTTCCCTGACCTATCAAATAACAGTGGAGCAGGGAATGGGATACAGAGCTGGTTTTAGTGGTAAACAAATGTCATATATATTATTTAGTAATTTTAAAAGGCATGATGATACTTGGAGAGGATCTACCACAGGAGGGCAGGAACTTCTAAGAGAGAAAAAAACAGAAAAGAAAGAGAAAGAAAATACTGTAGTAAACAGCATGAGTTTCTCTTTGCTCCAAAGTCAGGGTATATTTTAAATTGGTTGGCTGCTTCTGTGCTTTCTCAGCACATTAACGGTTCCAAAGTTGGTTTAACCTATTAAACCATCAATTTCTCCCATACTATAATGATAAATTTCTATCCCAAAATAAAAGCCCACTCACCTGCACTGTAATTACCCACATGGCCACACGGCGGGGGTGGGAGGTGCTCCCTGTTTGGATACTGTAAATCAGCAATCTCTCATAAAAGAAAATTTACTTCCTAGCTGGATGCTTAAAAACAGGTCCCCTAACTGGCAAGAAGAGTAGTTGCTAGAAGAGTGGTTCTGACTAGGTGACCCATGACCTATTCAGTAGGTCCATGTTAATTTAAGGGGATTGCAAGTGACAATTTAATATCATCGGCTCTACTTTTTCTAATAGAAAGTCCCTACTCACAGAGATGACACTGAAGGTCTCACTAACCTGTATCCAGAAAGCCAAGTGAAACACCAAAGACAGACATCATGGCAATCAGCAATACTGCTGTCTTGCAAAAAGGAACAAGATAAAGACCAGCTGTGGTAACCAACAGTGATATCCCTGGGAAGAAAGGTAAAAAAAAGTCAGCTTATAAAAAACAATATTTATGGAGAGTCATGGATCAAGTGAACATTAAAAATTTCCAAAAATGCAAAATAAGGTCAACTTAAAATTGGTTATTTCATTCAAATCTTTTATAATCTTTATGGACGATAAAATATAAATTACTATAACAATACATTTCTACCACTGCTAACAATCAAACTGTAAATTATACCACAAGACAAAGTTTTATAGCAAAAGAGATAGGCCAAAAATTATTTATTTAAATGTTTCACATTTAAGAACTTAAAGGGATTTTTCATATGAGGTAAAAAAAAAAATTTTAAAAGGCAAAAACTATGGCAGTCTGGAGTAAAAATTTACTAAATAAATTAGTTTGGGGAATAGGGAAGGAAATACAGTGAATATATTCTTTCAACGCACTTTGGAAATAAGGATTATTTATTAATTCATCAACAATAATAAATTTTTCACCTTACCTTCAAAGGAGTTTTATCATATTAATCTAAATTTCTTTAAACATTTTGATTTATTAAAAAAAAAGAGTATGTTTAAAGCTTTGCCATCTATTTCCAGGGTAAGGCAGAACAGTCTGGGGTTGTCACTGACATGGGGCAGCAGAGACAAAAATGCAGACTATCTGTTCACCCACCATCTCCTACCCCCTTCATTTCCAGTCCAGGGTCTAGCCTGGGTAGGTTCAAGGAACTCATCTTATCTATGGTGGCCTCAGGAGATCTGCCCTAAGCCCTGATAAGCAGAGCTTTTGGGACAACCAGTTTGTGACCCAGGAGTGGTGCCTAAATTACAGGGAAGGTCAGGAAGGCTAAGGATTGCTAATCATCTGTAGTGGACTGAATTATGTCTCCCAAAATTCATTGAACCTTGAATTCTGTTCCCCAAGTTTCATATATTGGAAACTTAACCCCCACTGTGACTGTTAAGAGGGTGGGAAATCCTATTATGGCAACTGAAAGGTGGAGCCTTGAAGAGGTGATTGGATTGTAGGACCGTGCAGGAGTAAATGGCTTAAAAATAGTGGCCAGGGGCATGGTTCTGAGAACTTTAAAAGAAGAGGAGAATCTGTCTTCCCTCTCTCTGCTTCCACCATCTTGCAATGTGAGACCTGAGTCACTGTCACCACTACCAGATGGACTCTGGACTGCCAAGCCTCAGGAACCATAAGCAGTAAAAATGTTTTTCTTTATAAATCACCCAGTTTCAGGTATTTTGTTATAAGCAACAAAAACGGACTAATACAACATCCTAGTGGTAATCTAAGTTTCCAGAGTGGCCCAGAATAGATTCCCTATAACTGCCAAGATAAGAGTAGACACCAAGGAAACCCAACTTCCACCAGGGACTCCTAAGTGCTACCCATTTCGGTTGTCAAACATTCTGTGGGCTAGTATTTTTCATATTTAAAGAAAATTGTAAATTCATTAACAGTCACAAAGAAGCTAAAATTAGTGTTTACTTACCCAAAAGTAAAAAATGATTCATAAAGTCAAAAAGAACTCCACCAATCACAGAACCTGTCAAATACCCAATGGCACGGCCCACAAAAATTAGAGAAAGACTACTGATATTTCGGTTCACATTTGTTGCCAAATCTTGAAACGTGGGTCCCAGTATAGCAACACTCATTCCCTAAAATTTAAAAAGACAAAGGTTTTACTTACGATAATTAAAATAATGTCTATCTATGTGGTAACTTTTTCCACTATTAAAAAAGTGGGGGTGGAGAGATTACGGTGAAATGTAAGGGATTACTTTAAGTTCCACAATCAGGAAAAATTCACAATGACAATACTACTATTACTAGAGCTACAGATTCCTGTGGTGTTTCTAATTTTGACAACTCTCAATTTCTAAAAAATGCTTTAATTCTTCTGGCTTTTTGTTGTAATTTTGTTTCCTTTTTAACAATTCCTTAAAAGACTATTCTGTACTATATAATAAAATATAAAATTAAAACTATTCTTGAGAGGCAGGAGCCAAGGGCAGCCCTACTGCCCAGCAGAAAGCAGGAGCACACATGGAGTCCTAGGCAGGAACCACAGGGAGTGCCCCCCACCTGGCAGAAGGCAGGAGCACAACAAAAGCACTACTTCCACACGGGCGGCACACCACAGCCACAGCTGCCACAAAAGTGGCTCACCACCTTAGTAGCAGCCTCAGCCACCACGTAGGCAGCCTCCAGCAACTCAACTTCATTGACACAGGGGAGTCACCAGTGGAGACCAAAAGAGGAACTCCCTCTCCTCAAAGCCCACTCCAGAGTAACAGAAGGAGCAATAATACCTCTATCAGATGACCAGACATCAATGGAGAAATACTAGAAATCCAAAAATCCAAGAAAACATGATACCACCAAAAAAATACAGTAATTCTCAAATTCCAGGTCCTATATATCAAGAAGCCCTTGAAATGACTGAAAAGGAATTCTGAGCAACAATCTTATGGAAACTCAGTGAGATATGAGAAGACTCAGTTAGACAACATAATGAAACAAACAAAAATCCAGGTTATGAAGGAGGAAATTTACAAGGAGATTAATATCTTTAAAAAGAATGTAGCAGAACTTGTAGAACTGAAAGATTCATTCAATGAAATAAAAAACACAACTGAGAGCTTAAGCAACAGGCTATAACAAGCAGATGAAAGAATTTTTGATCTTGAAGACAGTCTTTTCAAAATAAGCCAAGCATACAAAAAAAAGGAAAAATTAATTTTAAAAAATGAAGAAAATCTAAGAGAGCTAGCAGACAACCTTAAGTGCACAAACATTCAAATCATGGGTGTTCCAGAAGGGAAGGAGAAAGGAAAAGGCATTGAAAAACTATTCAACAAAGTAATAACAGAAAACTTCCCATGAAGAGAGAGAGACACGGACCTTCAAATCTAGGAGGCTCAATGATCCCCAAACAGATTCAATCAAAAAAGATCCTCTGAAACACAGTACAGTCAAAATGGCAAATCTCAAAGACAAAGAGAAAATCCTAAAAGCAGCAAGAGAAAAGCACTGAGTCACCTATAAGGGTGAAGAAGTCTGCTGTTAGTCCCCTATCAGACTAACAGCAGACTTCTCAACAGAAACTCTATAGGACAGAACAAAATGGGATGATATATTCAAAATACTAAAAGAAAAAAACTGCCAGGCAAGAATACTATACCCAGCAAGGTTATCCTTCAGAAATGGAGAAATGGCATATTCCCAACAAAAACTGCAGGAGTTTGCCACCACATGACCAGCCCTGCAAGAAATCCTCTAGGGAGTCCTGCATCTGGAATCTGAAAAACAATAATCACAAGAATGAATACACAAGAAAGAGCAAAATCCACTGGTAGAACAAAAATGCAAATGAGAAAGAAACTAAATCTTACCACCTCAAAAAACCAACAAACATCAAAGACAAATAATAAAAAAGGGAAAAAGGAATAAAGTAAATTTAAAACATCCAAATTAAAATTGATAAAATATCAGGTTTAAAGCAATACCTTTCAATAACAACCCTAAATGTAAAAGGTTAAACTCCCCACTCAAAAGACACAGACCAACTGATCGGATTAAAAAGTTAGACCCAACTATATGTTGTCTTAAAGAAACTCACCTCACCGGTAAAGACACAGAGAGACTAATAGTGAAGGAAAAAGATATACGGTGCAAATGGAAACCAAAAATGAGCAGGATCCTATACCAGATAAAATAGACTTTAAACCAGAAACCATAAAAAGAGATAAAGAAGGCCACTATATAATGACAAAGGGATCTATCCAGCAAGAAGACATAATAATCATAAGCATATTAAAATTAATCATAAGCATAATAATCATAAGCACACAACACTGGAGCACCCAGATATGTAAAGCAAACATTATTTAGCCTAAGGAAAAAGAAAGACCCCAATAAGGTAAAGTAGGGGACCTGAACACACACTCTCTCAGCACTGGACAGACTATCTAGGCAACAAATCAACAGAGAAACAAAGGATTTAAACTATACATCACACCAATTGGACCTGGCAGATATCTACAGAACATTTCATCCAACGACTACAGAATATACATTCCCCACATCAGGACATGGAACATTTTCCAGGATAGACCACAGGTTAGGTCAGAAATCAACTCTCAACAAATTTTTAAAAACTGACATCATTTCAAGTATCTTTTCAGACCAAACAGATTAAAACTAGAAATCAGTAACAAGCAAAACTCAGGAAACTATACAAATACATGGAAATTAAGCAACATGCTCCTGAAAGACCTAAGGGTCAAAGAAAAAATTAAAAAGGAAATCAAAGAATTTCTTAAAACTAATGAAAATAAGGACACATCATACCAAAACCTGTGGGATATTGCAAAAGCAGTACAAAAGGAAAGTTTATTGCAGTAAACACTTAAAAGAATAGAAAGATTTCAAATAAACAACCTAACACTACAACTCAAAGAACTAGAAAAACAAGAACAATCCAATCCCAAAATTAGTAGACAGAAAGAAATAATTATGAACCAAATGAAATAGCCAAAAAAAAAAAAAAAAAAATACAAAAGATCAATGAAACAAAAAGTTGGTTTTCAGAGAAGATAAACAAAACAGACAAGTCATTAGCTAGGCTAACTTAAAAAAGAAGAGAGAAGTCCCCAAAAACAAAAATCAGAAATGAAAAGGGAGACATTATAACTGCTACCACAGAAATACAAAGAGTCATTACAGACTATTATAAACAATGTACTCCAACAAATATGAAAATCTGGAGGAAACAGTTAAGTTTCTGGACACATATAAACTACCAAGACTGAACCAAGAAGAAACAGAAAACCCGAACAGACCATTAACAAACAACAAGATTGAAGCAGTAATCAGCAGTCTCCCAACAAAGAAAAGTCCTGGAATGGATGACTTTAATGATGAATTCTACCAGACCCTTAAAGAGGAGTTAATACCAATTCTCTTCAAACTATTCCAATAAATTGAAACACAGGCCATTCTCCCAAACTCATTCTATGAGGCCAGCATCACCCTACTATCAAAACCAGACAAAGACAGAACAAAAAAAAAATCTATAGGCCAATATCTTTGATGAACATAGATGCAAAAATCCTCAACAAAATATCAGCAATCAGAATACAGCAGCACATCAAAAAAATGATACACCATGATCAAGTATGATTCATCCCAGGGATGCAAGGATGGTTCAACACATACAAGTCAATAAATGTGATACGCCACAACAACATAATCAAGGACAAAAACAATATAATTATCTCAATAGACACAGAAAAAACATTTGACAAGCTTTCAACATCCTTCATGATAAAGACTCTCAGCAAATTAGGTATAGAAGGAAAGTATCTCAACACAATAAAAGCCATATATGACAAACCACCACCAATATCACCCTGAATGGAGAAAAGCTGAAAGCTTTTCCCTTAAGAATGGGAACAAGATTAAGGATACCCACTCTCACCACTCCTATTTAATGTAGTACTGGAAGCACTAGCCAGAACAATCAGGCAAGAGAAAGAAATAAAAGGCATCAAGATGGGAAAAGACAAACACAAATTGTCCCCATTTGCAGATGACATGACCTTATATATAGAAAAACCTAAAGACTACAAAAAAACACTTAGAGCTGATAAACAATTTCATAAAGTTGCAGGACACAAAATCAACACACAAAAATCAGTAGCTTTTTTATACTCCAATAATGAACTAGCAGAAAGAGAAATCAAGACAACACGTCCATTTGTAAGTCACACACAAAAAATAAAATGCCTAGGAATCAGTTTATCCAAGGAGGTGAAAGATCTCTACAATGAGAACTACAAATCACTGCTAAAAGAAATTAAAGAGGACACAAGAAGATGTAAAGATATTCCATGCTCTTGGATTAGAAGAATTAACATTGTGAAGATGTCCATAATACCCAAAGCAATCTACACAGATTTAATGCAATCCCCATCAATATACCAATGACATTCTTCACAGAAATAGAAGAAACAATCCTAACATTCATATGGAACAACAAAAGACCCTGAATGGACAAAGCAATCCTCAGCAAAAAAATTAAAGCCAGAGTACCCTACCTGACTTCAAATTATACTGCAAAGCTATAGTAACCAAACAGCATGGTACTGGCATAAAAACAGACACTCAGACCAATGGAACAAAATAGAGAACCCAGATATCAACCCACATATTTCATACTTACAGTCAAGTGATATTTGACAAGGGCAACAGGAGCATATGTTGGGGAAAGGACAGCCTCTTCAATAAGTGGTGCTGGGAAAACTGGACATCCATATGTATAAGGAAACTAGACCTGTACCTCTCGCCATATGCCAAAATCAACTCAAGATGGATAAAAGACTTATATTTAAGACCCAAAACTATAAAACTACTAAAAGAAAACATAGGGGAAACACTTCAGGAAGTAGGACCAGGCAAAGACTTTATGAACAAGACCTCCAAATCACAGGCAACAAAAGAAAAGATAAACAAATGGGATTATATCAAACTAAAAAGCTTCTGCACAGCAAAAGAAACAGTTAACAGAGTGAAAAGACAATTTACAGAACGGGAGAAAATATTCACAAACTATGCAGCCAACAAGCAATAAACATGTGGAATATATGAGGCACACAAACAACTTAACAGTAAAAAAAAACTAGTAATCTCATTAAAAAATGGGCGAAGGAGCTGAATATGCATTTCTCAAGGGAACATATACAAATGGCCAACAGACACATGAAAAATGCTCAATATCACTAAGTATCAGGGAAATGCAAATCAAAACCACATTGAGATGTCATTTCACACCAATTAGACTGGCCAGTATCAAAAAGACAGAGAATAAGAGATGTTGGCGAGGATGTGGAGAAAGGGGAATCCTGTACACTGATGATGGGACTATAAATTAGCACAGCCATTGTGGAAAACAGTATGGAGGTTCCTTAAACAACTACAGATGGAACCACCATACAATCCAGCAATCCCACTGCTGGGTATATACCCAAAAGAATGGAAATCATCATGTCGAAGGGATACATGCACTCCCACGTTTATCGCAGCTCTATTCACAATAGCTAAGAGTTGGAACCAACCTAAATGTCCACTGATGGATGACTGGATAAGAAAAATGTGGTATATATACACAATGAAATACTACTCTGCCATAAAAAGGAGTGGAATTCTGCCATCTGCAGCAACATGGATGAACTTAAGAAAAAATTATGTTAAGTGAAATAAGCCAGGTACAAAAAAAGAAATACTACAAGTCCTCACTCATCAGTGGGAACTGAAAAAAAAAAAAGAAAAGAAAAATAGAACAATCACAATAATTCCTTGAACTTTCAAAAGGAGAGAATGGAACTGAGGCCACCAGAGGTGAGAAAGGGCAAGCGGAAGAGGGTTAGGTAGAAATTGGTAAAGGCAACAAAAAATGCTTACATTATGTAATGATAAAACTTTTTAAAAATATGAATACATCAAAAAAAATTTTTAAGCTATTCTTGAAAGTTTAGACTATTTTGAAATATACAACATGCACAAAATAAGAATTTAGTTGTTAAAATTTAAATGATCAAAAACATTAAAATATTCCCTTTTTTTACAGTATTACAATAGCTAAACTTCTGGATGCACATGGGGTCCTTCCTCTGAACTATATATATAAAACATGCAGGAGATAAACAACTTAACCATTTCTAAACCTACATTTATCTTCAAAGAAAACCCCACGTCATCAGGCGTACAGTCTGTAAAGCTTTCTTAGAAAATATTACATACACATGTACAGAATGACTTGAACAATAAAACTTTTCTCAAAGACAATGCAGTGTTAACAAGAACTAAGAGTTACAGTTGGCTTTCAGATGAAATCCATTGAACACTTTAAGAAAAAATGTTTCTAATCGGTCTACATTTCAAGAATAATTGATTCTAATTGCATTGTTCTGCTCTCTAAACACATGGGTGTACCCAGCTCTAATCAAATTATTTTAGTTTTTGTTTGTCAGGGTGGCTAGCCGGTATGGGGAACCGAACCCGTGACCTTGGGGTTAGAAGGCTGTGCTCTAACCAATAATCAAATTAGTTCATGCCTTCAAAGGACTTGCTACGGGACCTGGTGCAGAGTGGGAGCTCGCCAAGCATCTGCAGTGACTTCTTTCTTCACACCCTCACACCCCAAATCAAAATAATCTAAGAATCAATTGCGGCTCAGAGTCTCTGAGAGGCTAAGTGACCGACAGTGTCTCGCCTCAGAGGACTCACTCTACGAACTACCCAGGATCACAGGGAGGCTTCCGCAAATAGTGAATCGGGGGGCAACCTAGGGATTTGGCAAAAGGCGCTTCTATCCTTGCAGTTTGCTGAAGAAAAACATTTAAGGATCTGAAGGTTTGTTTTAAAAAGGATTGTGCTCAGAGTAAGACCCATATTCCCGGCTCTATCAATTAACCAACTGTATGATCCGGTTAAGAACACTTTACTCTCTGGACCTTTCCCTATCTGCAAAATTAAAAGGAAGGCTGAATTTGGTCGGACCACCAGGAAAAGGAAATCCCAGAAAAGCAGCTTTTCTGTGTGATAAATTTAGAGGTTGAGTAGGTGAGTAGGGAGCAGAGTGGCCAAAGACCTGGGCAACCCCTCTTGCATCTCCCCAACCCCAGAGGAGACAGGGAGGTTAGCTGGAACTGGAAAACATACTGGGAAAATCCATTTCGCATTTCACAATAACCCTCTAAGAATAGAATTGTGCCCATTTTCCAGGAGACAAAATTGAGGCCTGGACATATAAGGTAACGCGCCCAAGGTCACAGCCCGCAAGTGGCGGAGGCAACTCGAACTCGGAACGCCAAGTTGTCTGCAGTACGCATGCTCACGCCCCGGCTCTCACCAGCCCCAGGAAGGCGGCAAACACCATCACGGTGGTGAACCAGCGCAGCACGCTCCCGGCCCGGCCGCCCCTCTGGGACCCCGCCGCCGCCGCCGCCGCCGGCTCA